AGTGCTGTGGTGTCACAGCTCACAGCAACCTCAAACTCTTGGGCTTAAGTGATTCTCTTGCTTCAGCCTCCCAAGTAGCTGGGACTATAGGTGTCTGCCACAATGCCAGGCTATTTTTTTGTTGCTGTTGTCATTGTTATTTAACTGGCCTGGGCGGGTTTGAACCTGCCAGCCTCAATGCATGTGGCTGGCCCTATATAACCAGTGTGCTACCGGGGGAGAACCAACCTCCTAGCTTTTAAATTGGTATTGCGTACATGCAATGCTTCTTTTCTCAGACTTGTGATACTTAGGAGAATGTTCTCCAAATCCATCAGGTTGTTACAGATAATGCAAAAGCTCCATTTTTTATGGCTGAATAGTATTCCACGGTACGCATATACCACAGTTTATTAATCCATTCACATATGTTAATGGGAACTTGGGTTATTTCCATATCTTTGCAATTGTGAACTGAACTGCTACGAACATTGGAGTAAGGGGTGCTTCCTTAGTTCAGTCCCTGTTCCTCCAAGGGAGCACTTTGGTTCCACCTGTGGTTAACATTTTAGTTCCAGCCTACTCAGTCAGGGTCATACATTGGGCACACCTGGTTCACATGGGCATGTTCAGGTTATGTGACCTGCAATCTCAGAAGCCCCAGCAACTGAAAAACAACCCACCATTTTATTACACAAGGCTTAACTAGATTGGGCTGGTTCCGTGATTACGAGGTTTTTCCTGTTGGACAATCTCTGAGTACTTACCTGTCAGAGATAGCATTCTAAATGTGACTATTATCACGTCCTTCCCCTTTAGTTGTTCCCCACTGAATCCAGTAGGAAAAGGAATTACAAACTCCTGCTTTCCCATTCCTATATAAACATTGTCACCTTCCGAACTGGCCAGCGACTCTGCTCTATTGCTGTGTTCTCAGACCTTTTGTACAAGCTGGTTCCTCAACTTAAAATACACCCTTGGTCCATCCCTGTGTCCTCCTTACTCGTAGTTGTTCCTTTAACTAATATTTATAGGGTAAATACAATGTTGTTGTTGGTGGGCCTAATGAGGAGGCACATGCCCCCAAAGCCCACCTTACTGATCAGATTTCAATGCCTCTTTTGCATGAAAGTGGAATGGTGGCGCAGAGGGGCTGGAATGATGCTGATTGGTCGGCTTTCAATACCTAATTTGCATTGCAATGGACCAATCAAATTCAACGCCCGTTTCCTACTCTATTAAAGCAACAGTATCTCACCTCTCCTCCCACAGTTCATTGTTTTCGTTAACCTGGCCTAGACTGTCTACGCCTTCTCTGGTTTTGTCTCTGGATACAGATCATCCCACGGAGGTGGTCAATGTAAGGAGCTAGGCTTACTATACTGATGCGTACTTATGCCTGTCTGATCTATGAAAAACTGGGTCAACTTAAGGAGGTAATTGATGTAGGGAGGTGGTCCACTATCAAGGGTCTTCTGTGTTTTGCTAGGCTATGCACCAAACGCTGGGGTTACGCCAGAGGGGGGAAGAGCCCCCTAACCGTATGGGACTTGCCTGTGAGGGGTTACTGCCCCCAGCACCAGACAGAATAGGAAATCGGCATCTGCTTTCCAGGCACTTCCAAGGCAAAGACAAATGGGGCTGCTTGTTAATTAGTCCTTTCCGCCCTCACTGGCGACTCTCACGGCGGCATACCGGAAGTTTAGCCAACCGGACTCGGTACTGGGCACGCCTTGCCCACACCGCGCTTATTCCTTCCGCGGTTAGCGACGCGACGTCAGACCACGCTTCCCTCCGACTGCTAATGGGAAAGTGTTGAGACTCCGACGTTTCTCCACCCCCACATCCTCACTGGTACACACCAGCAGCGGGCGCCGCAAGGCGGGAAAGTGCCGCGGGGGCGGGGTCTGTTGCTTTGGGAGACGGAAGTGCTGCCGAGTCTGCCGGCGCGGGCTTTTTAGAAGTTAGCGGCTGTGGTGAGGTGACTCGGCAGGGGGATTTGCGCGTTACCGGGGTGGTGGTACTGGGCCGGTGGGAGAGAGCGGGTCTGTGCGAGTAAGAGGGGTCCCGTTCTGATGTCGCGTTCTAGTATTTTCTGTGAGTTAGAAGTCTCCCGAGCTCTGCGGTCTCCGGCTGAGTTTCAACTTTCTCAGTTTCCGCCCCGCCCCCCGGCCGGGGCTTCTCTCTGAGCCCTTCGGTTAAGGTTCAGCTACTAGTTAGGAGAAATTCCTCTTAATCCTGTGGCATGTTTATTATGACTCAGTCACAGCCCCCATCACCGGCTGCTTCGTTTTATAGTTTCTGTAATTTGTGTTCACGTCTTGCTCGGAACGGCCCCGGGGAGAAACCGCGGCGGCTTTGCACGGTGTGGGACGGCCGCAAGTGTTCTCCGGTCTTCTCTTTACTCTGGGGATTCTGACAAGCAATGTGCTGTGCCCACGGGGACTTCACAGCCGCCTCTTGTTACCGTTGGTTTTAGGACGATTTCACACATGTAATCTGCTGTGATAGACTAGTTTCAACATGTTCCCAGAAGTATGTGTATGTTTTTTTTTTTTTTTTGAGACAGTGTCTTTGTGGCCCTTGGGTAGACTATGTGGCGTCACACCTCACGGCAACCTCAAGTTCTTGGGCACAAGCGAGTCTCTTGCCTCAGACTCCGGAGTAGCAGGAACCACAGGCGCCCATCTCAACGTCCGGGTCGTTTTTTTTTTTTTTTTTAAGACAGCGTTTTGCTTTTGTCGCCCTCGGTAGAGTGCCCAGGCGTCATAGCTCACAGCAACCTCCGACTTGGGCTCCAGCGATTCTCTTGCTTCAATTTTTCACGGGCCTCGCTTTTGCTTAGATTGGTCTTGAACTTGTGAGTTCAAGCAATCCACCAGCCTCGATCTCCCCAGAGTGCTGGGATGACAGGCGTGAGCCACCGCGCCCCACCTAACTTAAAACTATTGGGCTCAAGCGAATCTCTTGCCTCAAACTCCCGAGTCGCTGGGACTACAGGCGCCTACTACAATGCCTGGGGAGTTTCTTTTTTTAGTCCTAGTAGAGATGGGGGTCTGGCTCTTGCTCAGATTGGAGTGTCTGCTACCTCTGGCTGGATGCAGCTTTAGGTTGGTGTGTCTATTTTGCATCCAGTAGTAAAAAGCATGGAATCTTGGAGTCTGAAGCTTGACAGATTTGGACTTTCTCTCTGGCCATTTACTAACCTTCTGCTCTTGGGGTAATTTCCTAATTCAGAATCCCCAAAAGTCTATTTTTTGGTTGCAGCCGTCATTGTCGTTTGTCGGGCTGGGCTGGATTCGAACCCTCCAGCTCAGGCATATGTGGCTGGGCCCTTAGCTGTTTGAGCCACAGGCACAGTGCTGTGTACACACTTATATCTTTAGCTTTGTTAATCTTCTGTGCATTTAATTGGCACTTCGCATGTACTGCTGTTGGTTTTTTCATTTATCAAATATTACTTAATTACATGCTTATAATAGTGTAATATATTCTTGTATGTGTATTTATAGTGTATTTATTTGATAACACCATTAAAGTTGACAGCTTTGTTCTAGGCAGTGTGCTGAGTAGATGGTGTGATGAAACCACTTGATTAGATTATAGGTTCCTAATAAGGAGATTTCATAATATTTTATTTATTTATTTTTGAGACAGAGTCTCACTATGCTGCCCTGAGAGTGGCGTCACAGCTCACAGCAACCTCAAACTCTTGGGCTGAAGTGATTCTCTTGCCTCAGCCTCCCAGTATCTGGGACTACAGGTGCCTGCCACAACGTCCAGCTATTTTTTGGTTGTAGTTGTCATTGTTGCTTGGCAGGCCCTGGCTGGGTTTGAGCCCGCCAGGTCTGGTGTGTTTGGCTGGTGCCCTAGCTGCTGAGCTTCAGGCGCTGAGCTCATAAAAACTGAGCTATAGGTGCTGAGCTCCATAATATGGTTAGGGTAAGAATTACCACTCATGGCTTGGCGCCTGTGGCTCAAGCAGCTGAGGCGCCAGCCACGTACACCTAATGGCTGCACGTATACCTAATGTACACCACGTACAACAATAATGGCTGCAACCAAAAAATAGCCGGGGCCTTGTGGCGGGCGCCTGTGGTCCCAGCTACTTGGGAGGCGGAGGCAGGAGACTCGCTTGAGCCCAGGAGTTGGAAGTTGCTGTGAGCAGTGAAGCCATGGCACTCTACCCAGGGGGATAGCTTGAGGCTTTGTCTCAAAAAAAAAAAAAAAAAAGAATTACCACTCATACTTGTCAGTAGTTCTTAATTTGTTGAGCCCTCAACTGTATAAGTGAATATTTCATACTCTAGGTAATAGGGAAGGGGAAAAAAAATCAAGCTTATATACTTGTAGAAGCTTCATTCAGCTCTTGACGTTCTTCTCTTACAGTTCCCTGATAACAGGAACAATGGACCAGAAAATTTTATCTCTAGCAGCAGAAAGAACAGCAGACAAACTGCAAGAATTTCTTCAAACTCTAAAAGATGATGATGTGAGTATTAGGAAGCATGTTCTGCCAGAAGTAAATGTGTCAAGCATAATCATACTCAGAGAACATGTGAGAAACGTTATTCTACTCCTTCATCTACTCTCTATTCACCTTAAGAGACAGGGATTTATTTGATGACAATTCATAGATGTAAAAAAATTGGGGAAGTGGGGAGAGATGAAAGAAAAGGACAACTTAAGGGTGGTTGTGACCAAATCCAAATCTATTTTTTTTAAATTGAGACAGTCTCACTGTGGTGTCCTTGGGAGAGTTCCATGGCATCAGAGCTCACAGTAACCTCAAACTCTTGACTTAAGTGATTCTCTTGCCTCAGTCTCTCAAGTAGCTGGATCTATAGGTGCCTGCCACGACACCGGCTACCAAATTTTTTTTGAGAAAGTCTCACTTTGTTGCCCTTGGTAGAATCTCATGGCGTCATAGCTCATAGCAACCTCAAACTCTTTGCTCAAGGGATCTGCTTGCCTTAGCCTCCCGTAGCTGCCACAACAGGTGGGTAAAAAGAGATAAGGTCTTGCTCTTGCTCAGGCTGGTCTAGAACTCGTGAGCTCAATCCACCTTGCTTGGCCTTCCAGAGTGCTGGGATTATAGGCTTAAGCCACCATGTCTAGCCTTACATTCAAATCTGAAGTAGCCTGAGAATAGAATGGTACATGTAAAAACAAATTAAAATACTTCTATAGCTTTTGGAACAATCCTATTTGAAAATAGTATCCAGACTGTAGCTATTGATGTGAGACATTAGTTTTGCTTATTGATGCTTTATATTTTTTCTTAAAATGTATAAGCAGTAAAATATTTTGAAATTATCAAGAAAAGAGAAAATTAATGCACTTTCACTGTAAATATCTGATTGTAAAATGAGATAACAGTTATGTTAGGCTGTTTTATGCTTTCTAAGATTATTACATGATAATATTACTCCTTTTTCCATAATCAGTGATCTCAGCCCTTCCAGATCCCTCCCTGGATCCCTTTTCAAGATTAACATTAAATATTATGTTTAAACAAGCTAAGATATTGAGTATTACTATTTTTTTGTTGTTCTTGAGACAGTCTCACTATGTTGCCCTCAGTAGAGTGCTGTGGTGTTACAGCTCACAGCAACCTTGAACTGTTGGGCTTCATCCTCCCAAGTAGCCAGGACCATAGACGCCCGCCACAATGCCAGGCTATTTTTTTTTTTGCAGTTGTTGTTTAGCAGGCCCCGGCCTGGTTCAAACCTGCCAGCCTTGGTGTATTGTGCTATGGGCGCTGAGCCTGAGTATTATGTTTTTACAGGAATTTTATGTGCTAGTCTTTTAAAAGTCATTGAAGCAGGTACATCTCAATCTCTGTTATCTGCCATACTAACTGCAAATTGATGTAGGGATGCTTTTTGATTTTTTTCTTTCTTTGAAATTATCCAGGATTGCTTTTGTAGTGGTTTTTTTGAGACCAGCATGTTGTTAGAGTTTCAACTTAAATCATTCTAAAAGCAAGATTTGATTAAAACCAGCATTTAAGTTATTTATTTAAAAGTTATAGTTTATCTCTTGCTTGTACTATAAAATAAGTAAAAATAAGAACCAAAACAAAATTCACGATATATATGGATACTATGAATTACCTTTCTGATTCTTTTTCTTTTTAAGAGACAGAGTCTCACTTTTTCACTCTCGGTAGAGTGCTATGATGTCATAGCTCACAGCAACCTCCAGCTCTTGGGCTTAGGCAGTTTTCTTGCCTCAGCCTCCTGATAGCTAGGACAACAGGTGCCCGCCACAATATCCAGCTATTTTTTTGTTGCAGTTTGGCTGGTGCTGGGTTCGAACCCACCACCATTGGTATATTGGGCTGGTGCCCTATTCACTGAGCCACAGGTGACACCCACCTTTCTGATTCTTACTTAACACAAAAAGAATCTTCATCTCAGTTTTTTTGAGGATGAAATTAGATAATGTATGTAAAAGATTAAACATCTGATGGGCACTCAATAAACTTCTAATAGACATTGAATAAAATGTTAGAAAAGTTCCTCCATATCTTCCTGGTTTTAAGTCCCTTCACTAACATAGTCACATTTCTCCAAACACTTTAGTTTTGTCACCATTTCTCTTAAAAGTTATATACCTTAAATTGAACACAGAGCTCCAGATTTGTTTTGTCACTGGGGTAGGGTGATACTAATATTTCCTTTATCATTCATGCAGAATTAAATTTGGCAGATAATATGCTGTTGTCTCATTGTTCTAAGTTTTTGTATATGTTGATGTTAGGCAAGATTTCTGTCATCTCATAAATCCTTTAACTTTTTTTTTGGTAGAGACAGAGTCTCGCTTTGTCACCCTAAGTAGAGTGCTGTGGCATCACAGCTCATAGCAACCTCCAGCTCTTGGGCTTAGGTGATTCTCGTGCCTCAGCCTCCCAAGTAGCAGGGACTACAGGCGCCTGCCACAATGCCTGGCTATTTTTTTGTTGCAGTTTGGCTGGGTTTGAACCTGCCACCCTTGGTATTTGGGGCTGGTGCCCTACCCACTGAGCCAAAAGCACTGCTCAGAAATGCTTTAACTTTTTAGACAAATTTCTATCTGTTGATTATCTTTTTAGATGTATCTCATTTTATTGTCAAGGTCTTTTTGTATTTTGATACTGCTATCATTATATTAATCACCTTTTTATCCTCTACAAATTTGTTAAGTATTTCAGTAATACATAAATTCAGTTTGCTTAATAAAATGTTCCACCGAAGATGAGCTCAGAGTAAAAAATTACAAAACACGTAAGAAAGTCCTGTGACAAGAAAGAACCTCACAGATGTGGCAGTGAGAAAATTCACCTTCAAGGGTTTGGAGAGAATAAAGCAGTTTGAAACTGATTTTAAATATTTAATGCAAATATTTAGTATAATATTTAACATATTTAAAGTTACAAATGAAGGAATTGAATCCACAAAATAAGAATGGATTTGGAAAACAACCAGAGAAAACTTTTTTTTTTGTTAGATAAGGACCCTCTTTTTTTTTTTTTTTTTTTTTTT